GTGGGTTTGGGTTTCGATTACCAGCAGGATGTCCGTGATCACCGTCGTTGGGCAACCTGTTGTTCTCGCGGTTAAGTTTTACCGTTGTCAATCTCGCCAATACTTGACGCATAGTTTCATGCATATCAAGTAAGGTTCGATTAACGTTGGTCTGGAACTCAGTAAACTCAGCCCTCAAAAGAGCTACTCCATCACGATCACCGTCGTTGGAGGGGTTGCTTCCATCTCGTGAATCGGCCATCAAAACAAAGGCAAATCTTGGACTTGGAACCTTGCTCTGATACCAACTAACGTAGTGGAAATGATAAAGAATAGGGTTAAACCTTTGAATTCACAAAGAATACACAAGAAAGAAACTGAAATTTTTATTGATAATAATGATGTTTGCAGACTTACATATCTTGTCTTTATATAGGCAAGTCAAAAATAAAATAAAAAAGAAAGCATTCGTAAAATAATATTAAAGGGAAAATCTGAGATTTGATGGAGCAGGATCCTCCTTAAATCTTGTAGTGGAGAATAATATTTTCTATTGTTGGCAACTACATCAAATCTCCTTTTGACTTTTCCTTATTTATTTATTTTTTTCTTTTATTCTCCTTACCTTTTCAGCCTCTTTGATTTGCGATGATCTTGTATGCGCAGATAATCATGAGCGAGCTGTTCTACATCATTCAGACTCAATTATTCATAATGAAGGAGAAATTGGAGATGATATGAATCATAGAATCAAGGAAGGATGGTTAAATGGAGGAGTGCATCTGGTATATTGTGTGATTAGCGTATCCCCTTAAGATTGAAAGGGAAGTTGTATAGAACAACTTGTATACCAGCCATATTTTATGAGATAGAATGTTGGGCAGTTAGGAAACAACATATCCATAAAGTGAGTGTGACTGAAATAAGAATGGTGGGATAGATTTGCGGTAATACTAGAAAGGGTAGAATAAGAAATGATCACATTCATGAGATGGTTGAAGTAGAATCTATTGTAGATAAAATGAGAGAAAATCGGTTAAAATAGTTTGGACATGTGCAAAGATCTGTAAGTGCATCAGTTAGGAAGAGTGACATAGTCCACACTGAAGGTAATACTAGGGGAAGAGGAAGGCTAGAGTTAACGTGGGTACAATTAGTTAGAAAGGATATGGTAAAACCTCCCTATTTTCTCTACATTCCCAATGCTCTCTCTCTCTCTCTCTCTCTCTCTCTCTCTCTCATCAGCCCATCACAACTTTGATTGTCGAAAATATGCAATTAGTGCCCAAAAAACACGGTGATTAATATGAAATACAAGATAATAGAATAGAAGAGAAATGTGTAAAGGCTTGAGTAAGGCATAAACACTCGTTCGCAGTTTTAGTATTTATATATATATATATTTTGATAAGTAAGATTTCATGGAAGGCACCCAAGAGGGGAGCGCTCCCAGGAGAATATTAAAGATGCCAAATGTGACAACTATAGCTTTAAGCCATCCATAGTAAAATTATTGCATATTCAATGCCTAGACACGTATAAATAAAGTCAAATCGCATGATTCTAGCCTATCACATCTTGGCTAATATTGTAAGTTACATCCATGATTCTAGCTTATCATATCTTGGCTGACACTACCCCTCAAGTTGGCGCGTGGATATCTGAGACACCTAACTTGGACCGAACACAATCTTCTTAAATATATAGCCAACGACTATGTTTGGCTGCATTAAATTGACTAGCCAAGGCATAACCATGGCATTTTCACCAAACCACCGTGGATACGTCTTATCTGACTCTGGTATCTCCTCAGATCATAGACCATTAACAACCTATCCTCGGACCATAAGCAACCAACCTGTCTCCTCAGACCATAAACAATTATTACTCTCCTCTGATAATTTCCCTTCATATACATGTTTAAAATATGTAGATTGAAGGATCAACAATGTTTTCTTTGTCCATTCCTCTTCATACACATTTTTAAAATATGTAGATATCTGAGACACCCAACTTGGACCGAACACAATCTTTATAAATATATAGCCAACGACTATGTTTGGCTGCATTAAATTGACTAGCTAAGGCATAACCATGGCATTTTCACCAAACCACCGTGGATACGTCTTATCTGACTCTGGTATCTCCTTAGATCCTAGACCATTAACAACATATCCTCGGACCATAAGCAACCAACCTGTCTCCTCAGACCATAAACAATTATTACTCTCCTCTGATAATTTCCCTTCATGTACATGTTTAAAATATGTAGATCGAAGGATTAACAATGTTTCCTTAGACCATTCCGCTTCATACACATGTTTAAAATATGTAGATGAAAGAATCAGCATTGTCTTCTTAGACATTCTTCTTCATAAACATGTTTAAAAATATGTAGATGGAAGAATTACCAAAGTCTCCTCAGACCACAAGCCATAAAAAATGTCTCCTTAGACCATTTTTGAATGGGTGGTGCCGAACTCGCAACGCCCTCATTGCGGTCGGATCACCTTGGCTATGATACCAAGAAGAAATACAAGATAAAAGAATAAAGGAGAAATGTGTAAATGATTGAATGAGGCATATACACACCTTCAAAGCTCTAGTATTTATATACTAAAAAGAGCACATGTTAATATTACAATAAAAGAAACCGAATAAAATCATTGCATATTCAATGCCTAGACATATGCATAAATAAAGTCAAATCCCAAGATTCTAGCCTATCATATCTTGGCCAACACTCCCTCTCAAGTTGGTGTGTGGATATCTGACTATCATATCTTTATAAATATATAGCCAACGACTATGTTTGGCTGCATTAAATTGACTAGCCAAGACATAATCATGGTGTTTTCACCAAACCACCGTGGATACGTCTTATGTCTTATGTCTTATCTTACTCGGCTCGTATCTCCTTAGACCATAAACCATTAACAATGTCTCCTCAGACTAGAAGCAACCAACTTGTCTCCTCAGACCTTAAACAATTATTATTGTGTCCTCAGATCATTTCCCTTCATACATATTTTAAAATATGTAGATGGAAGAATCAACAATGTCTCCTCGGACCATTCCTCTTCATACACATGTTTAAAATATGTAGATGAAAGAATCAACAGTGTCTCCTTAGATCATTCTCTTTCATACACGTGACATGTTTAAAAATATGTAGTTGGAAGAATCACCAAAGTCTCCTCAGACCATTCTTGAATTGGCAGTGCTGAACTCGCAACGCCCTCATTGCAATCGGACCACCCTGGCTCTGATACCAAGAAGAAATACAAGATAAAGCAATAGAGGAGAAATTTGTAAAGGCTTGAATGAGGCATAAACACTCATTTACAACTCTAGTATTTATATACTAAAAAGAGCACATGTTAACAATACAATGAAGGAAATCGAATAAAATCATTGCATATTCAATGCCTAGAAATACGCATAAATAAAGTCAAATTCCATTATTATAGCCTATCATATCTTGGCTAATATGGTAAATTACATCCATGATTCTAGCCTATCATATCTCGGCTAACAAATATGAAGATGATTAATAAGGTCTTGTATAGTATTCAACTAAATTATACCCAGAACTTAAATTTAGAATGATTATGAAATTCAACGCAAGTGAAATAATGTGTGCGATTTTGACGCTTGTATTAAATGTTTATTTAATATTCATATTAAGTATTTAAATTTTTTAAAATATACATTAAAACAATAATTTATTAACAATACGACCAAATTTATCTAAGGGCATTTTTGTCATCTTGAAATGGGAATATTTGCCATTACAATTAGTGCAGGGTTAATTATGTCATTCTAGTGTACCTAAGGGCAATTTTGGTATTAGAGTTAATATTTCTAACGGCTTTAACGGTGACTTACGGCCCGGGGAATCTGTTATTTTGACCAAACCACAGGAGGTTGACTACAGGTTTGACCAAAATTTAATCTATGGGTGAAAAACCCAAAGTGTATGGGAGGTCAGGTAATTTACCCCTTCTTTTTTTTTTTCAGAGAAAAGGTTGGACACTTTGGAAGTGCGTATATTTTTTTCAAGATTGTTGGACTTGACTTCTCGTGGTTGTGTTTGTGTTATATAACTCTTGTATTGGGTTGTGTGTCAGACGTGTCGGCCAAGTGTTTGAAACAAGTTTGATATAATGAAATTGAATTTTAAAGTACACACATCCAGGAAGTTTTAGATGTGTGTTTACGAGTTTCCATAAAGTGACGTGTCCGACATGTGTTTGACACTGACACATCACCTTTATAGAAGTGTCGGTGCTTCTTAAGCTTTCTTGTTTTGTAGCGCTAGAACAAGTCAGGGAATTTCAGATACTGGTACATGACACATGATAATATAGAAATTCAACTCAGAAAAATCAATTGATGAATCAAAAAGTTCACTACATAAAATCTTATGAGAAATGTAAAATCCAGTTCAACAGATTTGAGAATGATGGGACCCTGGGGCAATTCCACAACTGGCCCTATCAATTGAATAAAAAAGGCTGAAAGATCTGATACCAGTTTCCCTCAATCACGGCCTGGTTAAGATTACTCTGCATTCGAAGCTTCCCTTAAATTTCTTCAACACCGTCCTTTCAGAGCCCCGTCAAACAAAAAATAGAAATAGAAATGCATTTTTAGTTCTAATTCAGTAGCCATCCTCGATTAATTTTATCTGTTAATATATAATCACATGCTCCAATAAAGCTCTATATGCATGAGAATTAAACGTTAATTTAGATTCTTTTTTGTTTTTGTTTTACATGCCCTTCTCCCTATGACTAAAGTTGAACAAGATGATTAAACTGAAAGAAGCACGAAACAGGACCTCATAATATAATTTACAAAACCTAATAATCACAGCCAGGGTTATTGAATTGGGTACACGTGTACCTTTTGGAGTGCAACATTCTTGCACTTACATGCCTTGGATGCGTATCATTAATGATTTGTGCTTGTATTGTCACTAATGCTTTTTTTTTTTCTTGTTTAATGATGATTTGCAGTTCATGATCTTTTCATCGAAGTCCAAGCCTTTTGTATTGAGTTCTCACGGATTAGGGAAGCAGCTGGATTATTTAGGCTCCTTAAAACCTTGGAATGATGGATATTTTCTATGCTTATTTTGTTTCTTTTTTTTAGTCTAACCAATTTTCTTCTCTACCAATGTTCTTTTCATATTGTAGATGATAACATTGCGATCTAAAAGAGCCTAGTTAGTGCTTCCTCCTACCATTTCTTCGCCTTGGAATTTCTGTTATCCAGTCTTTTGTACACAATAAAATGAGAGTTTATTGCCCTGGTGGCCTTTTCGCGCACACTTTTTTTGTACTTGTATCTTCATGTGCTTTCTTTTTTTTTTTCTTTTATTAACTTCTTTCAAGGTTTAAATGAGGAAGAAAGAAACTCTTTTCCTTGATATGTTGGAAGAAACTGGATAGTAAGCTTTATATTAATTGTCCAGCATCAAGTCTTCTACGAATTTATTTGGGAAGGTACCATCATTGCACAGCAGTGGTCAAATTAGCTGCTACGAGTTACACACTAGAGGACATATCACTTATTATTTTATTTTTTATTTTATTTATTTATTTATTTATTTTTAACTCAAAAGAATAATACTACTTCGGTCTCATATTAGATGTCAACTTCGGAATCTTTGACTTACAAAATTGTGAGTCAAAGTTTTTGATGTGAATATCTAATATGATACAGAGGTAGTATATAAGTATATAAAAAGAATAATGTGGGATTGAGGGAGTATTATTTGCAACCTGTTTGCCCCCATATTGAACACTTGATCTATAAGACCACGGCCATGACCTGGCCACCAAGGTCGGGATTGGCTTGTATCGGCCAAAGGCATCCATCAAACAAGCAAAAAGACAGTCAATTGTCTGAACAAACGTGTAGGCCTCATTTTTCCACCACTACAAATAGAACTCATTTATAATGAGAAAGAGATCCATCTACCAACACACTTGCTTTTATACTTGTATCTTCAGCCCTAAGCCTCTATACTTGGCCTTTACATTTTATGTAGCTCAACGCTAACATTCCTTTGCGCTTCACCATGTTCTAATTTTTACTAGTAACTTTAGGTTTTATTTTCTATCATTCACATATATATTTTTTAGTTTAACTTGGAGCTCTTACCTTGAAGTTTTCTTTCAAGCTTTTAACTTTTAGCCCAAGGTTCAACGTTGAATTAATGAACTCTTTACAATGCAACTCCAACTTCACTTTCTGTGTCACTAAAGAAAATGTAACTGGTCCTTATTTTAATAAAGTAAATAAAGAGAAGGTTATATCTTTCTTAAAATGTATATTTTTTAATTTTTTACTTTTCTATAGCTCCACATTCATACTATTCTCAACTCGTTTCAAAATTAATATTACTTCCGTCTTAATATAATTGTCCATTTTGTCAATTATACCGGACGGAGAAAGTAAATTATTTCATTAGGACGACTGATATGAATCGGTGAGAAGGTCGAGAAGGTTATTATTGCCCTTCACAATTTCCCATCAAATAAGCCAAATTACAGGGCCACCCACCTACACAGAAAAATATACTATACCCCGGGGTAGACAAACAGTCTTGGCATACCCATAAATAAGGAAATTACAAGCGTACCCCACTGGACTGCGGACACGCTTAGAGTCAAAACATAACCCCCATCTATATAATTTTTTATTTCTATTTTTTTTTGTTGCCATTTGAATGGTGGTACCGCACTAACATCTTCCGTCCTTCATTCGTTAGCACCCTATAAACTACTTCCATCTCCATTCTCAATTATGCATCTCTTTATCTGAGTCATACCATCATTTTCATAGTAATTTTCTCTTTCCATACCATCTATCTCCCAAGAGCTCCCTGTACATTTAAATTTTCTCTGTTCACTTTTCTTTATCACAATCATTATTATAAAATATTCATAATTGTACATTATTTTCCCATGTTCTAGATGCTAGATTTTCTCATAATTTATTTAAATTTCACTACTATCGAGTAAGGATTCTTTTCAGCGAGATCTCTCATATTCCAGTGAAACTAAATTTAAGGATCGAGAAAAAGCCATGTCATTTGGTAATCTATGTGAAACTAGATTTAAGGCCGAGAAAAAGCCCAAGTCATTTGGCAAACCACTTAATCCTTTATAACTAGTTTGGGAGAAACATCGAGAGAAATCCTATTCTAGAAATCTCTAAAATAGTGCATCAATTCTTAACTTTATGGACGGACAATTCATTTATGCTGCATTTGGTCTGCAAGAATGAAATAGAATGTAAGTGTGAATGGAATGAAAATGAGAATGGGATTGGTTGTAAAATATGAAATGTGTAGTAATGGAATGATAATAATCATTATAGTGTTTGGTTGGACCAATTTAAAATTTAAAATGAAATAAATTTCAAATTGAGTTATCCAAAATATCCCTCTTAGTAACAAATAAATTAAATTAACAAAATGACAGTCTTCTATAATTTTTTAAAAATAAATGGTGGCAGCAGCAGTGGTGGAGGTGGAAAGCGGTAATGGTGTAGGTGGTGGTGGTAGAAGGCGATAATGGTGTAGGTAGCAGTGGTGGAAGCCAATGGAGGTGACTGTGGTGGTGGTGGAAGCCAGTGGAGGTGGTGGTGAAAGGCGGCGGCAGTGGTGGCGATGGTGGTGGCGGTGAAAGGAGGTGGCAGCGGCGGCGGCGGCGGTGGTGGTGAAAAGCAGTGGCGGTAGTGGTGGTGGTGGTGAAAAGCGGTGGCGGGAGTGGTGGTGGTGGTGGTGAAAGGCAGTGGCGGTAATGGTGGTGGTGGTGGTGGTGGAAGGCGGTAGCAGTGGTGAAAGGCAATGGTGGAAGGCAGTAGTGGTGGTGGTGGAAGGCAGTAGCGGTGGTGGTGGTGAAAGGCGGTGGTGGTGGAGAAAGGCGGTGGTGAAAGGCTGTAGCGACGGTGGTTGTGGAAGGTGGTGGTGGTGGTGGTGGTGGCGGTGGTGAAAGGCGATGGCAGTGGTGGCTGTGGCAAAAGAAGGTGGCGGTGGTGGTGGTGGCAGAAAGCGATGGCTGGTGGTGAAAGTCGATGGTGATAGTGGTAGTGGAAGGCAGTGGTAGTAGCAGAAGTGGTTGTGGTGGTGGTGAAAGGCGGAGGTGGTTGTGATGGAATGTAGTGATGGTTTTTGGACTTGGAACATGAGGGGTTTTTGAAAAATTAATTTTTATAAAAAAATTACTTGGGAATGGAATGACCATTCTGTAGGTTTAGATGTTGAATGAATTTTCATTCCTACTTTAAATTGCAGACCAAACAAAAGAATGATTGGAATGGGCATTCCATTTTCATTCCATTACTGCACACCAAACACAACATTAGAGATATTATAGGTAATTTATACAATATATCCAAATTATCAAGTAATCAAAATCACAATCTTATATAATTATGGTATTAAAAGTTTATACGAAATATTTTATTAAAAGTTTATATTTATGTAAGGGCAAATTGCAAAAAACCACCTGTGACGTCCTTGGTTTTTCAAGCCAGTGTGTCCTGCGATGACCCAAAGTTTGACTCTATAACGGATCCCAAATGCGGAAGCGGAAATAGAAACCAAGTCTCTAGAGATGAAATACATCTCTAAGACGCCAAAGCGACCTTCCATGAGATCACAACACTCAACGAGAATGAAAACGGAAGCTAGGGTCGAAAATAAACCAAGTATGGCCACAAGGGTAAAATGGTCTTTCCACGTGAAAAAAACTCTCGAGAGATGTACTTCATTCCTAAGACACAATCATGACTTCCCATGAAGCCACGGAAACAAAAGGAAAACAAGCGGAAGCGACGTTTTAAAAAAAGGGACAAGTTTAGCCTTAGGGCAAAATGGTAATTTCTAGAAAGATTTAGGTGCCACCGAGTATATCGTTGAATAGATAACAAAAAATTAACAAAGTTAGACTCAAGAATCACTCAATTAGAAGTCCGGACGAAGAAGAAAGGACGAAAACAAATTTGGAAGTCGACGCGGCCAAGGGGGCAAACCCCTATGCGTTTCCAAGAGTTAATGCACCATTATAGGATGGGAGCATATTAAGGACGGATTAACTTAAGAGTTAAGTCCTACCTATTTTAAATAAGGGAACGGATTAACCACAGTGTTAAGTCCTACTTATTCGTGTCAGGTCAACGGAATAGTTGGATGACATATTATTGAAATAATAATTGGATAGGTTATTTTGATGGTTGGATAGGACGGATTTTACATATGGAATTATACACCATGATATGACCTTGAGTCTCAGGATCAGTGGTTAGGGTGCGTATATTGTCAGGGATGTGTAGCTAGATATAGTGTAGTTGTGTACCCTGGTAGGTCTAGGTACTCATGTCCACTATATGTGCGTTTTGCATGTTGCCTACTATTCAGGTTGAGACAACTCTATAGTCTAGTTAGGTTCATTTAGTGTGTATATATATGTTTATGGACTATTTAGTTATTGTTGAATTAATTAGGATGTGTACGTGTATCGGGTCTCTGTTTGGGATATAATATATTAGAACTTGTATGTGGGCCTGACCCACCATTATTTTTCAGGTGTTCGTCAGTTCCAGTCTTAGAGATTGTTCATGCCGAGCAGAGACAGTCATTCACCCTTCCGACTCTACGTAGGACTCTTCTTCATGGTTTAATTATTAGTTTTATTTCAGTTCAGTTATTTCAGTTAGGATATTATTAGGGGTCTACAATATGGATTCCCGAGTTGTAGTTTAATTAATTACTAGTATCCGAGGATTGGAGGATTTTATTATTGAATTTTTAATTATTATTTATTTGAGGATTTTGAAATAGGGATTTATTATTTAGTTTTCCTTCAGCTTATTGTTTATTTAATTCTTTATTATTATTTTTTTGTATTCAAATGCTTGTTTAAATATTAATTGTTTGATATCCTTTGTATTCTGTGCTCGGACTTGATCACCCGTGGCTCTAGAATCTAGGGGTATCACAATTTTTATATTATTCCCTTTAAAGGTAAAATTCCACATTTAAGTGTATACATTTGATTCAAATGAAGTTTGGCTCTTGGTCACATATCATATACATAAAATGAATGTCAAAAAGTGTGCTTAGGCACATATTACAAGTTTCAAGGAAAAAAATGACATTTTGGCCTAACTGTGCAATACAACTTAAAAAGGCAAAACGATGCGTGCTAACACTTGCATGCTCGTTGACATACATCAAATCACTTCAAAATATACAAGTTGACCTAGGGATGTTATGCATCCCAAACCAAGGTATCCGTACCTAAAAAATATCTCA